AGTTGACAGTTGAAGCCAGAGTTCTTCACCATACGCTCTCCAACAATATTCTTCCAAAGGTCTGATATAGGGTGGCAGTCACCTACTTTGACATGGAGCTCCTCACCAACCTACTTTCACATGAGAAGATTAACTTGCCATATTTGATCTTTAAACGCATGCTTGTTGTTGCAGAGAGTTCAAACAGGAATCTTCCCTATGGGATGATCCTCAGTTTGCTATTTGAGAATTTTTCTATGAATTTAAGTGAAAAGGTTGGTTAAAGAGTCAGAAGGTAGGAGTTTTACATAGTTACATCCTTGAAGAAGATGAGATTTGAAATGCATGATGGTGTGTATGTCCGAGCATACAATCCTCATTTAGTCCATGATGATGATGATGAGCCCGGAGATGAGCCAATGGCGCAGCCACAAAGTTCAACTCCACAAGTCACCCTAGATCGTATATGGGACCGCATGGATGTCATGTACGACTACATAGGGCAGATGTCTAGCAAGATGAGCACACTACAGGTGACTATAACATAGATGTGAGATGAGTTCCGATCCTTCAGTGGAAGATACATGCATCCCACCACATCCGACCACCATAATGCTAGCACCACCAATGAGAAAAATGCGGATGAGTGAAAGGAGAGGGGAGAGGTCTAGGAACTCTATGATTGTAGATTGTTTTTTGTTGATGTTGTTGTTAAGACGATTTGGTTTGAAACAACTATGATGGTGGATTGAAATTATGACATTGTGGTTTTCGATTTTAAGTATGTGTGAACAATTGTGAGGTATGTTTTATTGTATTTCGTGTTAGTGTGTTATGTTGTTATGAAGTTATGGTTTCTTGCTATCATGATTTTGGACTGATTCTGTGCGAGTTAGATTGGTTTCAATCATAATTCGTATAAGCAAACAAACCACGCACATCGACAGACATAAGCAAAAAAGTCGAAGGTTATATGTTGATTTTCCTATAACCGGTCGACCTCTTACAGTATGTGGTCGACCACGAAACCAACACTTTTTTATCTACATTTCATGTCAAAGGGGATGGATGAATGGATAAGAGTTTAGTCGTCTATCCGGTCGACCCGTTGTTGTAAATGGTTGACCATTTCGGTAATGACTACCATCAAGTGGTCGACCTCCTAACATTTACGGGCAACCATTTTGCTTCTGTCTACCCTAAAAGGCCGACCGAAGTTTTAGTGTGGTCGACCATTTCAATATCAACTAACTTAAAACAGTTGACCACGATAGTGAATTCGGTCGACCGCAATTACGCATAGGTCGACCAAATTGTGCAAGTTACGGTGACTTGCAATGAACCATAGGCGCACCCTAATCCTTTTTAAGAATATATTAGTTAGGGATGGCAATTTTACCCATACCCATGAGTATTTTACTACCAACCCAATTGGGTTTGGTTTGAAATCCAAATAGATGGTAAATGGGTAAAGTTTGATGGGTTTATACTCATACTCATTTATTTGGATTAGGTTGGGTTTTTCTTACATGAATTTGGGTTTTACCCATGTCGAAATACAAATTACAGTTTGGTACCTAAACTTCTTAGATCTATAGATTTAGTACCTAAATTTAGTTTTTATTGCATATAAGTCCTCACAATATCGATGGAAAATTATATTTAGAACCTAAATTTTTTGGTCTTACATTTTGGTACCTAAACTTTTAAGTGTTACAAATATGTCCTATTTTTGTATGTGTTGTTAAAAGATCCTAAAATAAATGGGTATTCATACCTAACCCATACACATTTAGATTTTGGAAGCAATATCCATACCTTACCCAAATAATACAACCCTAGAAGCTAGGATCGTGATTGAATTCGCGCAGCTCGTTCAGGCGGGAGAAGGCTTGATGAGTATGACTCGATGTTGGCCACGATCAATTGATCGATAAAAGCTACTGAACTCTTGGAAATTCTCCAAGCAATTCAACCAATTCACAAGCGACTAGCTTAATGAACGAAAAATCAAACTTGAATTCTATCTTGTAAAATCTGTCTTACAATACGATGACAAACGTCCTTAAATAAGCCTAACTATGGGTACAAACCATGATAGGAATCTTAATTACTTTAGAACACGAAAACACAGAAGTCAAAACCAAAGAGAACACGTAATTCTAATTCGAAACAGATTCGGATTTGCTGAGAAGCAGTCTTTCAAAATGAGGCTTCCTTCGATCTTCTGCTCACTCGATCGAGGCCTTCCAGGTACGTATTTTCTCAACCAATTCCTTCATGCTGGAGTAGAAAATGTCTACTTTCATGTGGCACAAATCTCCTAGCTCGACTCTCCTCCTTCCATCTCGAGTAGTTGTTCAAAGTAGCCTTCTCACACTGACTTCCAGACTTGGCCAATTCTGGCCAGTTTCTCGGTTTTGCCATAACAAGTATAGGGACTTGAAAAACTACCTTGCAAACTTGTGGCTGACCTCCCAATCCTTGGATCTCATAGAACAACTCTTGCACTTTCATTCTAGCCCCTCTCCTTGGATTTCCATTGAACCAATTGGGACGACCAAGCTTGCCAACTAGGTAACCCGAAACAGGAAGAACACTTAGCCCATTTTTAGGGTACTTTTGGCTTGATGATATGGCTCCTTGTCGAAGCCATTCTAGATTTTGGATTGAGCCAATCAGGATCATATCACGAAACCCATATATAACCCATATAAAAACACTCAAACACATATATATACTTCACTCATACTTTACCCATTATCAATGGGTCTATTTGACCTGTTCTTCACTAGTCAATGTTTAGCCTTTGAAACAGTCTCGCTGAAGAATTTACCAATCTTAGGCATACTGTATACCAGATGAATACAATTCATTTGCCACCACTGAAAATCCCCTCTCTCTCCTCCCCGCAGCGCTCTCCGCCATGACCAGCTCCTCCGCCACCGCTCGGAAGACACTGAGTAAGATTGCCTGCAATTGGCTTCAGAAGGAGCTGGTGGAGTGGCAAATCAATCCTTCCACTGGTTTCAAACACAAAGTCACAGATAGTCTCCAAAGATTACAATTTCCCTCCTCTTCTGGACTTCCTTTCCCCCTCTGGGAGACGGACTCTTCTTCTCCCGCAACACCTTTCTTCTCCCCTTGCAAATTTATGCCCTCTGGGAGCGTATGGCGGTTGGCCCCGTCTTCTCTCACTCCTTCAATATTCTTGGCGGTTGGCGAACGGTACCGACTGCATGCATTAAAGAACCCGTTCGCTAGAATTAATGTCCTCTGTGCTTTCCGTACACCCCCTTCATCTTCATCCCAATGGTGCCAGAGGGGCTCCAATTGTGCGACTGGGTCAAGGCAGAGGTTGTGATTCTGACCTCGAGGGTGGACCGGACAGCGAATCGGTTAGCTGCCCACGGGATAGGTGCTTCAAGGTCAGGAGAGAGCGTTTCCGGTGACGAAATCGCCTCCCGACGAATTCCTAAGCAGCAGACTTCTTTTGAGGTTATTCCATTTTCATTGTGGCTACAATGACAAGCAAGAGGATTAATGGCGAGGGTTGTCAAGAACCAGTTGATCCCAATAACTCGAGTTGTTGGGAGAGATTCAATCGTGGATCATATATCACACACTAACATGTCCCTTCAAACGAAAACCACTCACAAGGGCTTGAAGTTTACACAGGTCCACATACCATGTGCTTAACAAACAAATGGGGATTACGAGGATTCGAACACAAGACCTCTCGATCACATAAGGCTCTGATACCATGTCAAGAACCAGTTGATCCCAATAACTCGAGTTGTTGGGAGATGTTCAATCGTGGATCATATACCACACACTAACAAGGGTCGAGGAAGAGAGCAGAAACAGCGTTTTTCCGGTGATTTGCGTCACGACTTGCGAGCAAACTTTGACCTTTTTCCTTTTCACAACGGCTGCAATGACGCTGTCGCCGTTCTGTTCAATCCTCCGCCGTGGCCGCGGCGTTTTGGTTCAGGGAAGTCAAAATTTTACGTTATTTTTTTTTTCATAGATAGAATATTGTTAATAGATAGGGAATTACAGAGAGTTGAAAAGTAAATAGCGGTAGTCAACCAAGTGTTGAGCTACCGATGAAAGGGCCGTTTTAGCCACGCAATGGGCAGCCCTGTTAGTTCTACGGGGGAGAAAAAACAAAACGAATAAACGAGAAAGAGGCCTTCATCAATCGAACTTCCTCCAGAATCGCACTCCTCAATCATGTTGAACGTCGTTCTCCAAAACTCGTCGAATTACCAATTGTGAGTCCCCACAGAAACAAACAGAAGAAAAACATAATTTTACGTTTCAATAGATAATTATTGCTTAATTAACATAATTAATTATTGCTTGGTTAGTTTTCACTTTTCATTATAGGCTTTTAAAATTTTATTCTTTAATTTCATTGGCATGACGTTACAGGTGGAGATTTATGTTTTAGATTTACAGCCAATTGCAGTAATGGACATGATGATGAATAATTATGGTGCGATTATATCCCTTTCCTGGACGGTTAAAGTTCACATTGAGCTTTTAATACGATCTGTTAAAGACGTATACATGCTTATTACGCCTACCAAATACAGTAATGATGATTACCTTAATTTGGGTTTGTGACGTTTCTCTCCCTGAGAATTAAAACTCCATTTATTGACAGCACACTTGGTTTTTGCACTTCAACATATTTAGTTAAATCAGAATCGTTGTTTATTATTTTTTACATTAAATGAATCTTGTGGTTTGGGTTAGAGAATATTAAGGACTGAGGTTCACCTATTAGAGATTAGGGTATAATATCATGCTCAAATTTTCGGTTAATTCGTGCTCTAAATAGTAAAACTCGACGGGCGTACAATGTACGACTCACGTCCGCTAGATTGAACCATATGTATATATAAACATATATTTAGCAGGAAAAGTTGACTAGGAATGAAGAGCGAGCTAGCTAGCTGGCTAGGTAAGAGATTAGTATTAAAGCGCGCGGGAGAGATCAGTAATTAGCTGACCTGGATGTTGCTTAACGAAGGTATCCCAGATACTAGGCCCCTTGCCATCTCCCGAAGCGGCTCCCTCGGACTACATAAATATTGATTGTATAAGTAATAAGTTAACACTAATAAGTAAGTAATTCATCAAGGGTATTGATGGCATATATTATATATACGGCGGGGTTCGACGACCTGGTAAGCAGCAGTTCCGGCACCAAAGAGGAAGCCATCTGGAAAGCTGGCTCGACTGAAAGGCAGCAACCGACTTTGTTTGGGTTCCGCCTTGGGCGACGGATGAATATGATCACCGGCCGCAGCTGAAGCTACCGTGCCAAGAACGCCGAGGAGGAGGAGGAAGAGTTGGCGGCTCATGGTCTTCGTCATCAGTACTGGATTAAAGCTTCCCCATGAACTCATCTGTCCTTTTTCGATGAATGAACTCATCTATCCTTCTAACTATCTATATATAATAGAGAATTAAATACTGACTAGCGCTGGCCGCTGGTATATAGTATAGTATAGATTTATTTACTGCTTTTCTCTTTCCTATTTTTGTACTATCTTTTTTGCATTGTTATCAAAACCGGACCGGACGGTCAGACCGCAGCTAACGGGTTCCGGACACAAATTCGATTCCGACTGTCTATAAACGATAAACAAGCTGCCTTCCCGGGTATGAACCGGTTCGGCCGGTTAATCGGCAAAACCGTCTAAAGGAACCCCCGGTTTTGAGATTATTGCTTGCCATTTTTTCTTAATTATTGCTTACCTTTATTTATCATAACCGATGCATTACATTGAAAAGGTAAAGATAATTGATTCTTTTACTTTTTTTAGCACAATAATTCCTCCTAACACACTCTTTACTTTTCTTTGTCCATTCTTTTTCCTTTCCTTACTCTCAATCACGATTCCCTCTCTTTTTCTTCTCCTTAATTTCTTCCCCAAAGCTTTGTTTATTAGTGACATACAGGCAACATTGTGTTACGTTATTTACTTTTTATTCAAATTATTACTTTAATTACTTCTTTCTTCTTCTCAAGTCCACCATTTAATTTCTCAATTGACCAACTCTGTTGAATATAAGGATGGGAAAGCTCTCTCAAACACTCAATTACTTGATCACTCTTGCCCTCAACCTCTTTATGAAAAAGATACTATATTGATTGAGAGGAAAAACTACAACGAAGAACAAATTACACAGAACCCTAAAATCATGCCAAACGAAGTTGGCCCTTTGACAAAACAAACAAGAAGACTTCTCTTCCCAAACCTAATTCACCCAGCACCTCGCACTGTGAATCAAGTAACTCGAAGAGACACAACTCGGACTGATAGAAGATAAATACGCTCTCTGCTATTTTCTTCTTACCCGCTCAGTCACACCTTGATTATGAGAAGAGATGGCTATTTATACTGAAATAGAAGAGATGACCGTTGACAGGGTTGTAGGCGCTCCTCTGGAGTCGGTGATTTCTTGAGAAGGAGATCGCCAGGTACAGCTTGCTGTGCTTCTGAGGATGCATAGGTGGGAGGCTAGGTTTTGAGCAGCTCGATGATCTCCTTCTCTCGACGAAGACTTGGAAGGACGATTGTTTTCCTTTTGTCCGTTTGGGTCTAAGACGACGTCGTGTGGTGAGGCTGGCATGCTTGGTTGTGAAAACGTCACCGTTTAGTTGTCTTGACAGGAACGGTACTCTATTTCTTTCATCAATTTCCCCCTTCGTCCGACAAGTCCGGCGATTCCTGCAAAAACAGCATACAAAGCAGAGCAGCACTCGAGAGAAATAAAAAGCTATCATTAATTAATCCGAAATAAGCAGGGAGGATACAAAATAGAGAGGATAACTCCTTACATACTTCCCCCTGGGAAAGTGCATACAACTAACTAGCAAACAACTAACAAACACTACAGAACTACTACTACTACTAAAGAGACTTAAAATGGAGGGAAGGATTCCCCCTTAGGAATAGCATGAAGAATTAGGAGACAGGAGAAGTGGAGTCTTCTGGTGCAGCTGAATCATCTGAGGAAGAGTTTCCATCAGATATGGTGAATACAAGATTGGTATTTTTGCTGGACTCTCCAACGATAGACTTTCCTTTGTTACTCCCAGCAGATTTTGGTCGAGCTCCCAGGATGGAAGTAGAGGGAAGTGGTGGAGGAGGTGGAGTGGTGTCTGTGGGAAGATCTAGGACCATTAGTACATTGAGAGCGCCCACGTACATGGTTTGTGACATGCTTCGATGATCAGAAAGATCAATGCCCAGATTTATGAGCATCCGAGTTATGATTGACCCGAATGGCATTAAGCCTTGATAATGCTCGTCTCCTACTGGAAGAAAACTTCCAAACATCAGACTGGAGTAGTCCAGCTTTCGCCCAGCGGTGGCACTGGCGATGATCCACAGATCGAGTGGTAGAACCACGTCGAGGTTGTAGGTTCTAGGAAAAAAGACATGGGTAATGAAATGATGGAAGATTCTCAACCGTGGTGTTAGCCAGTTGATGGGAATTGGCACGTCTGTCCCTCCTGTGGGTTCAGTAGAGAAGTTTGAGTACTCAGTGTGGAGGATGAAGTTTTGCTTCCAGAACTCTGATGGATGAGCTATGTCGATTCCCTGAGATGGAAACCCAATAATTCCGTTTAGAGCCCCTACTGGAATGGTCAAGAGATGACCATACACGACTGTGGTACTGATTCCTTGGCTCCGAAGATTCGAGTAGAAATACTTGACTGCACCGGGACAAGCTGGGTGAAGCGGCTGTCGAAGAAGGAAATCCCATCCCAGAGCTTCTATGAGAGACATAATGTCGTACTTATAGAAGTTAAACTCATAGGGATCAGTTTGAATATTGTGGTGCAGCCTCCTACTCTCAAAATACTGAAGATGACGATGGTGGTTTATTACCACAGGCTCATGAAACATGTAGCCTGGGTAAGTGTGGACCAACCCATCAAAACGAAAAGGTCGAGGAAGTTGATCACTCATTTTTGGGTTTGCTTGTTGTGTTTTGTGTTTGTGAGAGCAGTGTGAGGAGTGGTGAGCCAGAAGATGGGTTTAAATAGGCTTTAAGGGCTGAAGAGGAGCGGGAAAGGAGGGGAAGTCGAAGAGTCTATTTTCCCTAAAACGAGTGTAATCATTACAGAGAAGGAAAAAGAAATACGCATGAGCCGAAAAGAAGTATTTTGTTTAAGTAAATCAAGATGAACAAAATGCCTAGATTGCAACCCGCCCAATAATATGATTATCTTTTTAGATCTTTGATTTGGTTAAAAGATTTCAGCCCCAGCTCAGTGCAGAGTTGAGTAAACCGTTCACTGGATAGAGGTTTTGTAAATAGGTCGGCCAGCTGTAGGTCAGTAGGTATGAATTGCAAGCATACATGCCCTGCTTGAACTAGGTCTCTTATAAAATGATATTTTACCTCTATGTGTTTAGTTCTAGAGTGCTGTACTGGGTTTTTTGTCATAATCTCCTAGTTGTGTTTTCATCCACATAATTTGTGCACAGCAGCTTCCAGCTGCAAGATACTCTGCTTCAGCTGTTGATAGTGCAACTGCACCTTGTTTTTTGCTAAACCAAGAGACGAGTGCAGGTCCTAAAAACTGAATGCTTCCTGAAGTACTTTTCCTATCAATTAAGCTGGCTCCAAAATCTGAATCACTATATTCAGTGAGTTCAAAAGAATCAGAGAATGGATACCAAAGTCCTACTTCCATTGTTCCTTTAAGATATCTAAAGATTCGCATTACAGCTTTTAAATGGCTCTCTTTTGGATTAGATTGAAATCTGGCACATACTCCAACACTAAATTGGATATCTGGCCTGCTGGCTGTTAGGTACAAGAGTGAACCTATCATTCCTCTATACTTCTTTTCACACACAGGCACACCCGTTACATCTTTATCTAACTTTAAATTTGTAGCCATAGGTGTGGGACATGAGTTTACTGTTTCCATGTTAAATTTGTTGAGCATGGATTTTATGTAATTAGTTTGGCCTATAAACATTCCTGAACTTGTTTGTTTGATTTGCAATCCTAGGAAGTGTGACAATTCTCCCATCATGCTCATCTCAAATTTGGATTTCATTAATTCACAGAAGTTTGTACACATGGTTGGACTAGTTGAACCAAATATGATGTCATCGACATATATTTGTACTACTAGTGTATCTTTGTCTTTTATTTTGATAAATAATGTTTTGTCCACGTTTCCCTGAACAAAACCTTCAGCTTTTAGAAATGAGGATAATTTCTCAAACCAAGCTCTAGGAGCTTGTTTTAAGCCATATAGTGCTTTTGATAGCTTATAGACATGATATGGAAACTCATGATCTATAAAAACAGGGGGCTGGCTTACATACACTTCTTCATTTATTTCTCCATTTAAGAATGCACTTTTAACATCCATTTGGTATAAGGGAATTTTCATATAGCAAGCATAGGCACAAAGCATTCTGATAGACTCAATTCTGGCAACAGGTGAAAATGAATCCTCAAAATCTATTCCTTCTTCTTGTAAGTACCCTTGGGCAACTAGCCTAGCCTTGTTCTTTGTAATTTCACCTAGTTCATCAGTTTTATTTCTGAAGACCCATTTTGTTCCTATGATTAATTTGTTAAAAGGCCTTGGTACTAATTCCCAAACATGCAATCTTGCAAATTGTATGAGTTCTTCTTGCATAGCATGTAACCATTCATCATCAGTTAAAGCTAATTTATAGTTCTTTGGTTCAAGGAGTGAGACAAATGCATACTGACCTGGGCAGTACTTACCTCTAGTGTGTATTCCTTCCTCTAGTTTCCCAATGATTTGTGATGCAGGATGTCGTTTTTGTATATGAGCCGGTGCCATTCTTTCTTCTGGTTGACTGGATGGTTCTTCTGTTGGCTCTCTGTCCTGCTTGTCACTTGCCTTCTCATCCTCTAGCTTTACATCATTTGTACTTGGTATTGGAAACAAAAGATCAATGTTTTCTGCAGCAACTTTCTCAGAACAAGCAGAATCATCAAATTTTATAAAAACTGATTCCTCTACTCTTCTAGTTCTGAGATTGTATATCCTATAAGCTTGTCCTTTTATAGAGTAACCAAGAAATATTTCCCTTTCAGCTTTGGCATCAAACTTGTATAAGTGATCTCTGGTATTTAATATATAGCACTTACATCCAAAAGGATGGAAGTAGCTCAAGTTTGGAGTTTTATGTTTCAGAATCTCATATGGTGTTTTTTCCAGATGTTTCCTTACTAATACTCGATTTATTACATAAACAGCTGTCATAAAAGCTTCTCCCCATAAGAACTTGGGACTTCCATATTCTAGTAACATGGTTCTGGCAGTTTCTATTATAGTTCTGTTCTTTCTTTCTACAACACCATTCTGTTGTGGTGTTCTAGGGGGCAGGGGCGGAGAAGGTATGATTTATTCCTTTGTCATTGCATAAGGCAATGAACTGGTCTGATATAAATTCCCCCCCCCCCC